CTTGGTCGGCATAGAACGTCCCAGTGAAAAGGACTGAGTATGTTAAGTGTCCATTAGGGTGAAAAGGTGCGTCCCACCTCACGTGGGCTTCTCGGGATCCCCGTGTTTTGACAGACACGGTTACTGTTCCTTCAGGAGGAGCTTCTAGAGTTCGATTTTCCACCTGCGAGTGTAAAAAGATTTATTTTTTGTTGGCAAATAAAATAAGTGCGTGCTCCACTCTGAGCATCTTTCTTCAAAGACTCTCTTTTGCTGTGAAGTAAACTATTTTGACAGTAGCATCTTGTATGATGAATACTTCATTTTGTCAGCAGGATCAAAGCGTACCTCGTGTCTTCTTCCTCCTGCTGTTCAAGCTTAGAATTTGAGCTCCTGACCGAGGCGCTTGCTTGTGACTGTTTTCAGAGTACGTGCATCAGCTCACACTGTGATGGTGCCTATGGCTGTGCGTATCCACAGACTCTTTCTAGGACTGCTTAAAAACAATTTTTAAGTGATTGCAAAACAGAAGGAAATGCACAAGATCTGTTTTCATAGGTTTCTGACTGGAGTGGTAGGCTCCCGGGCTCTGTGAAAGGTTCTTCGGGGGGCTGCTGGCCTGCCAGCGGGCATGCGCATGCGCGCGCGTCCACGCACACGTATACACACGCACAAGTACGTGCACGCGCACGCGCACGTGCTGACTTCGCCGAGCGCTGTCGCTACCAGGTACGTAAAGACGGTATCATGCCAGACAGACGTCAAGAAATAAATGTACCTAAGTGATACTATCCCTAAGGTTTAATTACAAATGAAATTTTCATTAATAGAGTGTTAATGAACCTATGCAGAAAAGAGCAAAAGATGAACTAAAGGGAAGGACTCTGAAAGAAAATGTAATTCCTAGCCACACAGAGGCCAGGAAGATTTTAGTGGCTAAATGCATAAAATGACTAGGTGACCAGAGGATGGTCAAAGTGGAAAGAAAGCAGAATGGGGCTCAGGATATTTAGCATCTTCTAATAACTGGCTTAAATTTGTTAACTAATCACCGCAAACTCCTAAGCATCCTTTTACGTGTTTGACCTTTAAAATGTATTGAATATGTTGATAATTTTGACCTTATTCTTAAAGCAGAGGCTCATGCCTCATCACTAGAAGGTGATCAAACACGAAATCCTTAGGCAGGCAAATATTCTCAATTATGAAACCTTCATTTGTTAGGGCGAATACACTTTCCCAATTATGAAAATAAATGTAAAAAAGACAGAGTGTTAATTTTTAATAAGTATGAGGTCACGACATGTTTTATTTTCATCTGAGAAAGGCTATGGGGTTCTTTAGATCTATAACTCCTCTTTTTTTTTTAGTCTAATAACTATGTACCAAAAAATGATAAACTTGACTGGAAAAATATCAATTCATCATTTTAATATTTTATAACAATGCAATTGGTTCCATTATGTCTATGTATATAATTCAAATTATTGCATAGAAAATGATTTTAAAGCGTTCCAAATAAAATGAGATTCAAAAGTTGAAGAATTAAGGGCAATTCCAGATAATTATATTAGTATGCTCAAATATCTGGTTAACTCAAAGTGGTATATTTTAAAAATTTCCTTCAGTAGCTGGATAAATACATCAGTTTTTACTCTACATGAAATTTGGCAGTTGTATTATTTTGCTTCAACTCAGTCTTTTATTTAAAAAAAAAATTACCTCCTTGTTTATCTATCTTGCCTTAAAAAGAATGTTAGGGAAAAGGCATTCTGGAAGGCTGGAAACCTCCCCTGACACAGAAAATAAATTGTTTTGAGAACAAGTATGCCATGAAAACATATAAACATTTTAATAAAATTTTCATCTTTAATATAACTCTTATCATGTACCAGAAATCTTTGCATAAATGTTTCACTGAAAATTTTACATCAATCCTGTTTAAAATGGGCATTATTTTCCTTTTGTAAGAGTTGAAAAATCTAAGGCTTAGTAGAATAAGTATGTTTGCCAATGAGGCACGAGGAATAATAGCAGGTTTAGGGTAGATTTCCCATTTAGGATTTTCTTGACAACTGCATATTGCCCTGAAGATTTAGATGTCTTATATAATAAATTTTTTTCTTTGTAAAAAACAAATGTGAAAAGGTGATATGTGTATAGGTGTGTTTACATGTATAAGCATGCATCACCAAGAACCCAAAGCAGCTTTTTAACTATATCCCATGGCAGTGACCTATAGTTTCACATTTCATCCTTAAGAGGCTCCTTAGAGAATTGAATCCAATGAATGTTCCAAGACCAGACACAGTCATAAAATTCCCAGTCTTAGACTCTACCAGTGTTATCTAACATTAGCTAAGTGGAAAAAACAAACAAAAGCAGAGTGATTATCCTATGGACATATTCAGTGCATCATATTATAATAACACAAAATGTGAAGGGTTTCTCTCTAATATAATTCACAATAGAATTGAAAGCAAGGATAGCTCTTAAAAAGTTATTCTCTGTTGCATTTTCTGTTAATTTTTCATTATTTCAAACACTTATAAAACTTCAGTTACTGGATTAAATTTGGCAATGCATATTAGCATCATAAAATTAGGATCAAAGGCATTATAAATTGTTTTTAACACTGGAATTTCTTTAAAAGCCAAATACGTTGTATAAATTGAATGAGAACTGAATAAACCACACACACACACAAAAATCTTTTTTCAGATGGGTACAGAGTAATTCTTACCAAATCACAAAAACAGGTAATAAACCGGTAGGGCTAAAAACAGAACATATTGAGCTAATACTACATTAAAATGGTAAAAATGTGGAAAATATGTATGCATTTTTATTTTTAAAACACTCTATTTTATCAAACTTGTCCTTTTTATTGTTTTATCCCCTTTATTATTTCAGCTTGCCAATTTTGAGGGTGAACCATACCACATTCAGGAACAGATCATATTTGTCACAGAGAAAACATGGAATAGTATTTTCCTGCATGCATGAAAAAGATGTAAAAGAAACAGGCTTCTCTTTCCAAAAACCAAGAATTATCATTAAAAATCTTGTTAGGCGAACAAAAATATAGACTCACAAAAAATTTATTTTTCAATTTCTGCCAGCAAAAGATCTAAAAACAGAAATCATGAATTTTTTGTTTCAATGAAACACTTGTTGTAACACTGGCTTTAGATAAAGAATACCCTTAAGGGATGTGTGTATCTGAATCTGGACTATCGTTCGTGACTACGGTTGATATGCCGGGCGATTTAAAATATGCAGATATGTAATCTCTTAAGGGCATACTGTAATTGGTACAAAAATATTTTAGAAATCAACTGAAGACTGTAGGTTTTAACTTATTGGCAGCACAGCGTTGACTTGTTCTAAATAAAGACATTGTTGTTCAATCCCAGTGATTAGAGATGGATCATTGACTTGGGAAAAGCGTTTGCATACTGAGCACAGGATAAAGAAAAGTACCAAGGGGAGAAAATAACCGCGCTTGATGTCAGGACTGAGTCTAGAATCTACGAGGCCATGGCAGAGCAGCTTTTACAATCCAATTCTGTTTTCTCCCTTCCCATCAGGGCACTGTGGCATTTGATTTCTTAAGGTTAACATCGCCTACTATCTTATCTGCACAGGACACAGATCAATAACCGTGTCCCCCTTGTTTCAAGTTGCCAGAACATCAAGAGACAGTGTGGGAGCCAATTTAGTAGCCAGAACCATGTGCTGTTTATATTTTTGAAAGAGTCTAGGTTTCAAGCTCATGTGAAGTGTTCTCGTGTTTCTTTGCTTTTTCTTTTGAATGGAGAAGAAGAGCTGGCCTCTTGCCATTCCTGCTTTTAAGAGTAAGTAACCGTCAGAGGGTCTGAGCTATAAAATACTTAATGGCAGTAAAGACTACAGCTCAGCTCCACCAAAAGATGATGTTAGCAGCTTGGAAAGCAACCAACCTCTGAAACGAAATGGAAGGTGTGATCAAAAATAAGGAAGCAAAAATGAAACTGTAGAGCTGTTTTCCAAGGTAATATTTATATAATACACTTTCCAGTGAAGACAGAGTGCATTAAAATGATAGAGCATTAGCAAACATTGCCAAAAAATATCTAAAAGTAATCAGTATTTCCCTTAAAAGAAGCAAAATCTAATTAAGAAAAATGTACAAAAATAAAATCTGATGTTTTGAAGCTAACGAATGTCATGCTGGTCTATGACAATTATGCACTATTGAGTTTTAAAAATTATATTAAAAAATAAAAAGCATGATTTGTCAATCTTTTAACTGCTAATGAAATACACACCATAGATTTCTGAAATGTGGATATCAAAAGCTAGTATTCATGCAGTTTTAAAAACGGTTCTTATGAAACTGTATCACACTGATGATATAAATCTATTTTATTCTATTAGATGAGACAAGTTCAAACTTCTGACTGACTGACATACTTTTTGGGCAGCTGTGTGGCCATACTGTGGCAATCATGGACTTTCAATTCTTTTCACTTTTTAATCATAAGCTTACTTAGTTGTTGAGCCCATTATTAGAAAGAAAAACATCCACTTTAAATAAATATGTACAACAAAATTGAATGTCCTTCTGCTAACCCGGCCAACTTACCTTGAAAAATTTCAGTGAAATACAGATTCTGTCCTTCACTAGACCTATGCACACTCTTGAAATTTATGTTGAATATAAACTCTTTCTAAGTCTTAAATAAAATTTTATAAAAAGAAAATCTCCCATCCTGCTTGAAAGCCTAGCTGTGCACAGAGTGAGTCACCACCATTTACTTCTTCCTTGATATTCACTGTCATCTGACATCGGATACATTCCCAGAATGTAAATGTGCATACTCACCAGTGGGCCCAGAGCACAACCTTTGGCCGTGCATGCTTGCACTCTGAAGGAATGTAAGCTCCAAGGAGCAAATCCATAAGCATGACAGCTGAGTTCTGAGGAATTGTGAATTAATATACCATCCAGATATAGTCCGTAGCTTGTGATAACACCTGGGAAGATAATAATGGACCTTTAGCATGACTACCAGACAACAGCAAAGAATGTCTTAAGAAAGCAAGCACTTCTTGATATGATTTCTAATTTCATGGAATTACTGAATCACAGTATCTGGTATTTTCCGCAGTCTAAACCCTGTCTCTTTCCAAAGGATAAAACAGGCATTAAACCCCTAAATATCAAACTGTTAAGCTAATTAGTATAGAGACAGAAATAGAACCCAAGAGCCCCAGTATGAGACTCTTCATATTACATCATGTGAATAGCTATCTTTTGTGTTCCAGATAAAACATGAATAAATTAAGTACACTTATAATTTGTATTGCATTCTAAAGTGATATCCTTAGTAGATGTTCTCTAGAAGTCAAATGACCTTATTTGTTAGGGTATTATACATTACTCAGGATGTATCAGGCACTGTTCTAAGCACCTGTTGTGTGTGAACTCCTTTTTAACCCTCTCCTAGCAGCACCACCAGAATAGAGGCAGTATCATTATGATCATTTCATAGATGAAGAAATTCAGGCAAGACAGATTAGGTAACTTGCTCAAAATCACATAGCTGGCCAGTGCCGGAGTCAGGATTTGAACCTAGGAGGTCTGACTCCAGAACCCATGTTCTCAACTAAAATATTACATAACCTAACCATAAGCACCTTAATACAAATTGCACAAAGTGCAGTCATGAGACACTCATGAATGGGTTAGAGAAACTATGATTTACTGGTTTTAATGATCAACTAAAATTTATTTCAGAAGGAAGTTTATGTGTCTTTTCATGAAATCAACTAGTAGAGATATGTGAAATTAAATAGTTGTTGAATATGATCATTTGAATTATGTAGTCAAAATATTTTTATTAAAAGGAAGTTAGGGATCTGTGTTCCCAGGAATTACGGAATCCCCAAACTGATCAAGCATTGAGAAATAAAACTTTGCTTACATGCTAAATTAGAACTTCTTTCAAAGTGAAATTAATTTCACAGTGGCTGTTTAATTGCCTCTCTGTAGGATCCCCAAGGCAATCTTGACTCTTCCTTACCTGTGTATTTCTAGACTTAACACCATGCCTAAAACATAGTAGGTACTACATGTATATTGATTAAATGAATAAATTAATGAACACACAGCAGAGTAAAAATATCAGCATCCAATCTAGAGGGAAAATGTAAGGCTATAGAAAAAAGAGATAACTCTCTACCTGAAGTATGAAAAGAGACTTGGTAAAAAGATGATATTCAAGAATAGCTCAGAGATAGATTTGGAGAAGGAACGAGTCTTAAAAGAGGCTCTAGCACAGTCAAGGTTGTCAAGGAATTCAGCTGGCTTCCAAGAGGCCTGTCTCTTAGCCTGGGAACTCCAAATTTGGTCGCATTAATGTCTTGAAGGAAGATCAAACCTTCACCCATCATTGCATTAGGGATAGCATTCCTGGTGGGACCAAGGACATCAGGAGCTTTTTCCCGAGTGTCCCTTTCTCCTGGGAGGAAATCGCTCCCTTCCAGAATCTGCTCACAATGTTTGGCATCACCATCACCTGCAAATTTATAGAATGCTGCACTCATTTTCAGGATATCCTTTACAAGACTGCTTTGGATTTAAAAATCAGTTCATAGCAAAACAAGTAGGGAGTGAGTTACTGCCATAAAAGTTACTCATCTAATAATATACCTCATCAACCCATAGCCTAAGAGATTGCTGGAACGGCCTCCTAAAGCCCACATTACAGCCGAGGCTGGGTGATGACACCTGTGGATTTGAGGGTTCGTACATGATGCTGCGCCTGATTTGAGCCAGGGGGTCAGTATCTGATGCCGGCTTTTCTACAGTGAGAAATGTGGAAATGGGGAATCAAGAGAAGGTAGTCAGAGTGTTTCCTCTTACTGTTACACTTAATATGTTTGCATTCTCCAGCCACAAAGAAGAATACTTAGTTGTGGGCTGCAAGCAAGTTACCACTAAATTAGAAACAGAATACTACGGGGCAATTTAGGATCCTCATGCAACTAAATCAACAGGCAAAAAAGAAAAGAAAAAGTTACTGTGTGGAAGGAGACATTGGCTTCCTGGGGCATGCTGACACTAAGCACACACACCCTTCAGTAGTGAAGGTTTGGGTTACCTTACTAGGTCAAGATTCTGAAACAGATGCACTGCTGGCTGAGAGCAAAGGGAAGAGATTATAAATAGCAACTGTGGCCTTAAACTAGTTATGGAAATGAGAATCGTAGGTGTTATTTCGTGTTTTATTATTTTCATATTACATAAAGATTTGTATAGAATAACTAATTTTCTCTCCTCCGTTTCCCTGCTGATTTATATAAAGGAAGTTAACGGGTATTAATTTTATGTTAGTTTTACATTGCAGGATATCTAGGTCGGTCGTGTCTGAACTCAAGGGAGCATGAACCCAGATGCAATACAATGACAGAGGGTGAGAGCTTCTTCCTTGTATAAAGCAGAGTAGGGTGTTGGGCGGAAGCATGCAGTGATTATTGCTGCTCATGGAAAGTGATGGAAGCAAGAGGAGCACGCATGGGCGTTGAATAATCTCATTATACATTCAGTTCATTTGCCCACAGCCCCACCTCCGCAGGTCTACAGTCCGCTCCGTGTGCTGGGCTTGCCAGTCCGTCCTCTGTAGTTGCCGCCCTCCGGCTTGCTGGTGTCCTCTTGGATTTCACCAGTAGGAGGCACTGCAAGCCGGGCGGAATCAGGAAGACAGAAAATGTCCAACTTGCAGCTCTAAGCGCTGAGGCTTTTGCTGACCGTTGAGAGGTCCGCAGAGGGACAAAGCAGCTGTGGCCTCAAGCAGCGTCTGCCGCAGAAAGGCCTCTTCTGCATTTCCAGCTTCTTCAGTAGTGGACTCTAGGTGGCCCTTGAGCTTGGGCTGGGGCAGTACCTCCTGATGGTTCAAGCACCAAATCAGCAAATCTAGCAGCTTAGCAACAGCGGAGGCCGACTCAGAAGCCAAAGACCAGGGAAGTTAGCAGCGCTCTGACAATCACCATTTTTGTTTCTACAGCCCTTCCAACACATTTGTAATCAACTCCTTATATTAAACACAGTCTGTCTTACAATCCTAGCACATTTTCTGTTTCACTAGTTAGATCTTGGTCAATACATCCTTTAGGATTAAAGCTGTTTATATTTGAACGAGCTAATACTTTTTATGTATTTATTTTTTGAGCTAGTGCTTTTTAAATAAAGCTACTACTTGGACTTATTTTCCTTGATGAGGATAACATTGTATAGCTTATCTTTTAAGAGCAGGCCTATTTCCCTCATTTCCAAATTTTGGGGTAACAGTATTTTACTGTCATGTACCCCTTTGGCTACACCAAAAAGGTACAACTGTCAACTTTCTCCTTTATTCTAGTATGACCATCTCTGATAACTCTGAGAATACTTACAGAAAGTATTTGGTTTAATGCCATTTAATAATCAAAACACAAAAGCACAGACGAATTAAAACTAAGAAATGAAAGATATACGATGTAAAACTAAATAGTCACAGGAAATTTAAGAGAAGAAAAAATGGATAAAATCACAGTAATAATCGTGATAAGAAATTATGATGTGCCAGGCCCTCAGCGAAGCAATCTTTTAATCCTCACCAAAAAAACAAAAAACAAACAAAACAAACCTTATGTGCAAATAATGTGTTGGAGAAGCTCTTAAAGAAATTGTAAGACCCTCAAAATGCTATCTACTTGACCTCCTTTTCAACAATGACATAGAAAGTACCCAAATCAATATTTCTGTTTTCTTACATAATTGGGGAACAGAGAATTTCTTTTATGTTAGAATTATGTGCATAATATCTCATTTATCTGACATATTAGGAAATGACACATTTCATAGAAGTTAATTTTTGTTACAACTAAATCTCATTCCTTAAGTATAAACTTTAAGAATTTTAACCATTTTTAGAGGAAATCTTTCCAGCAAGGACTCCACAGTACTCACCTGTCTTCCCACACAGATTATAATGAATATAATTGAATCATCTTGTGATGACTCAAACCATGCATTATGGACACCAAAGAGTATATTCTCTAATTCAGTAATACCCTCAGGGACCAATGAGATCTAGGATACTTACCCAACTTTTACCCTTCACATCCCTCAGTGGCTACACTTAATCCATTCTTATGTCTGCTTTTTGAGTTCTCCTTCCTCCCTCAGTGACAGTCTCTCAACAGTTTCTTCTTTGTTTTGTCTACCTGACTTAAGCAAGTCAACCCCTAGCAAGCAATGCTAAGAAACTAGATAACCATGACATCCGGAACTATGTATAAAGAAATAACAGACAGTTGCTAAGAGAAGGGCTTAGAGTAAGATGAGTGCATGGCAAATGAGCTGAGAATAAAATTAAATGAGATTTGTGACAGTTAATTCAACTGCTCAGAAAATTTTTAGTATGGAGGATGCATCTGAATGGAAAGGTGGGTGAAACTCAAGTCCATCTTTCACACGAGTGAGCGCACACATGCACTCATGCACACATACCTACAGAGTAACCCAGCGTTCGGTAAGTAACCACTATTTGACAGCACTTGCGGGAAGAACTTAAAGATCAATTATAGATCTAAATTGTAGAATCCAAGTGTACCCTGGGTAAATGTCATCTAGCCTTTAAGTCATATTGGACTCTCTCCACTCCTCTTCCTCCCCCACCATACCAACTCCATCACTGAGACACATAGACTATACACTCTCAACTGATCTTCACCCATCACCATACTCATGGCCACCTAGACCATTCTGCCATCATCTCATATCCGAGAATAATAGCCAGCCTCATGTTTTGATGCATTATTCATGTTTCCATACAATTCATTCTTTACAGACAGAGGGCCATTTTTCAAAATGCGTATCCAAAAATGCCATATGCAATCAGACCTTTGCTGAGTACTAGCAAGATGAGAGTTCCCCATCCTAGGATTGGGAATCTGGGGTCTACGTGAGCACATTGTGAAGCTGGAACAGA